CATGTACCTCCCACCGGCCTTCTAAACGCTCCAAAACTTTTGAAGTCACTGGAATACCATTTAATTATGTACATCCTACCACCATGGTTTGATTTAGTCACCCACGTCTTCCCATACTGTTTCCGAATTTGCATCACCTTGTCCTTCATTTCTCTATTTAGTGTTTTCCAAGTTGGTATTTCCTTCCCACCGTTAGGAATCCCCAAAACCTAATGAACTTGATTAGGAGACAACTTCATACGCATCCCATCAGGAGCAATTAGTACCTTACCAAACGGATCAATTCGTGTCATTAGCAAGTATGCCAACTGCCTAGGCAGATACATCTCAACAAGATTTCATAGGCTCCCGAACCCCATTTCCCTAACCCACTGTTGTCGTTTCTTATCAAATGTTTGACATATCCGTCCAAAACTCTAAACCTGACAATTGATATTGGGTGCCTGTTAATAAAACATCAACCTTAGGTTGCATCACATCACCATACTCATTAGAACACAAAAAAGGATCAAACAAGTTTCTTACCCTCCTTGTAATACCCCATATTTTTATACGTATTTTATTTAAAATATGTATTTTATAAAGTATTTAAATAATTTTAATATTTTAATTATGGCATTTTAACTAATATTTTTAAAAAAGGAAAGTTTATTTAATTTCTTTATTTATAAAAGTTGGGGTTTTATTTTAAGAAAGTTTAATTTTAACAAGTTTTATTAGGGAAGGGATTAGGAAAAACTAAAAGAGGAAAGTTTAGGGAAAAGGGGATTGGTTGAGAAAGGGTATAAATATCCCACTTATGAGGCAAATCAACTTTGCCTAGAGTGGAGAAAAACCCAAGGTAAACTTCTCTCTCTCTCTCCTCCTTATTTTTTCATTCTTTTTCTTTTCCCCTTTCCCTTTCTTTTTTTTCGGCAGCCCTGTTTTTCCGCCCCCCCTCCACCGCTGCCAGCCACCGGCAGCAGGTGGCCGCCGCTGCCAGCAACGTTAGCCGCCAGGAGCAGGTGGCCGCCGCTGCCGGCAGCCGGTGGCTGCCTTCTCTTTCCCCCTTTTTTCGAGTGTATAAAAAAAATAAAAAATAAAAATAAAAAAACTTAGCTTTATTATTTTAATTTAATCTATGCTTAATCTAAGTGTAAATTATGAGTTTTGGGGTTTGATGTTTGATGTATGATTATAATTATTATGTCAATTTATTTTCAGATTTGATTTTAATTAAAAAAAAAGCCCCAATTTTTGAAACCCTAGGTTCTTGGTTTATGAATTATTGAAGGGTTATGATGTATATTGGTTTGGATCTTTGTTTTAAGTGTTTTAAGGCTTAATTACAACAAGTTTTAATTAAAATAAAGTGCTGGAATTTTATGTAGAACACTTAATATTATGTTTCTTGAAGGAATTTTAATTACCCATTAATTGAGACTTAATTATGGTGTTTTAAATATAATTTCAGCTTACTTTAATTAAATTATGAGGGGTTTTAAAATAGTATATATTGCTGGAAATTTGTTTAAAGTGGATTTTAATACTCTATTATGATTTTAATGTGTAGGAGACTTCGAAGTAAGCAATTTCTACTAGTCATGGCGATTTTAAGATCGTACTCAAAGTACGTTCGAGTACTTAGCATATTTTGATGATGTAGAATCATGCTAGGCTTGATTTCAATCAATTACAAGTAGTATCATGCTAAGGTTTATGTATGGAATTGTGAATTAATGGTGTTGGTGATTGAATTGTGAAGCATGGATTATTTTTTATGGTTTATGGATTGAAAAATTATATTTTGGGCATGTTGTGTTTGAACTACACTTTTATTTATGGCATGTTAGAATGCATGATTAATTAAACTACATGTTTAATTATGTTTGGAATATTGAAAAGGAATTTTATTATGGTTCAAATATTTTTTATTGATGCTTTAAGCATGAGGAAGGAGCTATATAAGTGTCTATGTACACAAGGGATAAATTGTATGTTGGTGCCTTTGTGCACTTAAGGTGTTTTTAACACCGAGGGATAGGATTTTTGGCGCTCTATGCGTTTAAGGTGTCTTTGACACTGAGGTAGAATTAAAAAGGGTTCAACATTAAATAATATGTGGTCACTAATTATTCAAGAATTAAATTGATATGTTTGGTTGATTGAATAATTATTGTTGATTGATTTATTATGCTTTGAGAGTCATCACCAAGTCCAATAACATGTAAATCTATACTATATAGAAAAGAGAATTGTTGGTTTGGGGCTAAAGGGTAGTGGTACATTAACTTGTTTTGAGGAAATTCCACTCAAGTCCCAAACCCCCACCTGATGACCTGCAAGTTGCATCATTTAGTTATTTTTTTTCTTTTATCTTTATCCTTTATCTTTAAAAAAAAAAAAAAAAAAAAAAAAAAAAAAAAAAACATTTTTCTTGTACTGTAATGTTTATGACTTTTTTTTTTATTTTCCTTTTTTTTTAAAAAAAAAGTTAGATATAGTTATTTGGACTATACGAGGTATGTTATTTGTATATAAATTTATTCTGCTGTTGAGTTGGCTAATTGATTTCTCATACTGTTATAATTTAAAAACACCCCCTCAGGCTACAAAGACACGTACTAACCACTAATTAAAATTACCATACCAGGCACCTAAATCAACTTTTTTTTTTATTTATAATTCTTGCAAAGGGTAGGACAAACAAGAATTCGTGTCTTGTTCATGTTTGGTCTTCGTCTTTTTTTTTTTCCTTTTTTTTTACAAAAAAGAAAGTATTAATATTTTCCATTTTTTTCTTCTTGTTTTTTTACGTTTGTAAAATAAATCCATTTATTTAAATTGGAACATCCTAGGATTTGAGTAGGTTTTTAGAAAAATGATGTAACGATGTCACAACAAATTATGCTGACGAGAGATTAATACAAAGCATGTAGTATTAGAAAAACATGGCTTCTGAAAACTTAGAAATTAAGTTTAAAAAAATAAGATTAAAATTAAAACTCACTCCTAACAGTAATAAGCTACCCAATTCTTGATTCACAGCAGAGATTCTAGCTTCCAAAATAACACTTAAAATATGAACATATTTTTTGGGGTCGTACATTTTTATACTGAAATGATAATTTCATGAGTATGATGATTTGCATGATTTTAAAAAGGGTATGTGATTTCTAAATGAAAGACTTTTTGTTTTATTTATTTATAAAGGTATTTACATAAGACAAAGTAGGTGCCTAAGTTGGGAAGACAATGAAAAATAGAAAAGAGAGCTTACTACAATTTTATAGATTAAAGGTGTTGCATGCAATTACAAAAAATACTCTAACTACTGAGATTAGTCAAAATAGAAATAAATACAAGTACAAATAGCTACAAGCCGATAATCTATACAAAAAATTGAATAAAACGGATGACCCATGTTTCATCATTACTGCCAATAGGAATGACAACTTGGTTAATCATTTACTTCCCAATTAATGAATACCTCTTCATCTTTAATGATAGGTTTATTTAAAAAAAAAAAGGAAGTACGGTAAATTATTTATATATATATATATATATATATATATATATATATATATATATATATATTACATTATAAGTTAAACATGCATACCGACATACAACAACAAGTTCCCAAAATTTATATAATTAAACTAATGGAATTAATAAAGTGACAACTTATATAAAAAATTCATCTAGAAAAATATAGATTTTAAAGAGTAGATAAACGTATTATATATATTACCAAAAAAAAATATATAAAATAAAAAAAACCACTAACAAACTTAATAACTATGAATTCTCATTTTACCAATTTGCAAACTATAGATTCCGGTATTTTATATTGAAAATAAAATTAAATGTCGACTAATATATAAGAAAGACGGAAAACAGGAAAATGAAAAGAAAAAAAATCGAGTTTAAAAGAAATTTTTTTAATAGACAAGACACATATTATACGAAAACAAAAGCACAAATAAAAGTTGAGAGCATAACTTTATTAGTTATTTATTCTTTGTCCTTATATTAACAACAAGATCGTTGATCACATGTCTACAATCTGACATTTTATGCCAATATTTCCTCTTTAAAGTGTGCCGTTTCCTAGGGTAGAATAATAGCAAAGGACAAAACTCCATTGGGACCCTTTGCTTATTTTGTATTTTCAAACAAATAAAGAAAAACGTTAAAATAATATAATTTCCAAAATGGGCCGACGACCAAGGTTAAGCAAAATTTACATGAATAATTAAAGTACGTGCATATACTAATACTTCAAATTACTTTACACGTATCTGATCACCTAAATGTCTTACATACACTACGTCTGTGTTTTAATAAGTGTTACACTTTCTTTTTTTTTGGCAAAAAAGCTATAGTAAGATATTATATCTCTCTCCTCTCACGGTCTCCGGCCAAACTCATTGGTACTTATTTTATTGTAATTTCCCTGTCATAGTCATTACTTTTAAATAAATTATTAACCTTACTATCTTTCTTTTACAATTTTTTAATACTCCAACTATCCCACTTACCTGTTACTTTATTTAAGTCAACTAAATTGTCTATAATTAAACTAAGGGGAGTAATAAAGTGACAACTTATATGAAAAGTTCAAGCAGAGAACTATAGATTTTATAAAATAGCTAACCATATTACATTACCAAAAAAAAAATACTTACAAACTTATTAGTTCACATATTTTTAATTTCATACTCCCTTCATTTTTAAATACTTGCTTCATTTCTCTTGGACACGCATGTCGATGTTAATCTTTGATCACTAATTTCTTTAATTATCAATACATATAAATTCTAATAATTGAAAATTAATAATCTATTCATTGAGATGATTCCAAAAAGTACCAACGAGACTATATTTTTTCTTATGTATAAATCACAAACATTAGTCAAAGTAGGACAAATGAATAGTGCAAAAAATTGAAATAAAACAAGTACTTAAAAACGGAGAGAGTATCTCATATCAACATTTCTTTTTTAAAGTGTGTCGTTTTCTAGGATACAATATTAGCGAAAGACAAAACTCCATTGGGATCCTTTGCTTTTTTTTCGGACAAATAAAGAAAAGGAAATAAATAATTTAATACCCAACATGAGTCACTTAAATAATGTGCAAAAGCATCTAATTTGGTCATATACAAATAATAATTACTCGTATATGGAGCATAAGTTTCTGAATTAAAATAGGAGATTGCGAATTGAAGGCATAACTTGTAATCTACTTCCACACCACCGTCAAACAAGCCGAAGATGACAACATCCAATGACCACAATAATCCCTCAATCTGTTTAAATTAATACGGAATATTTAGACAATTCCAGTAAAATCATTTTCCTAAAGCACCTTTGATAAAGTTTTAAAAAATAATAGTTATACAAGTGCACCTCTAATATATTCCTAGATAAGTGCTTATCTTGAGCTTATTCTATAAATTAATCATGAAACATTAGAAGTACAAAATAATGTATGTAAATGACCCTCAATCATATAAATTCTTAGAAAGAAAAAGCTTTGCTTTGCACTCAAAATTATATTCTCTCCGTCCCTTTATTATATGCCTGCATTTCTTTTTGGAGTGATCAAAATAAAGTGTCTGTTTTTTCTATTTTAATTTTTTACATATATTCTTATGCATTGCTTTTGTTTAATTAGTTTTCCTATTATTTTAAAATACTGAATATGTCAAATACAATCAGAACAAATAACATGAAAAGACCTCCAAAATATGCATACGTTCTACCTGTGCCTACGCTTTGTAAGTATTGTGGAGCAAAGCTATTTAAGGACGAATCAATTAACCTATGTTGCAACCAAGGGGAGATTCGACTTGCTCCTAACCATATGCCAGATAGTTTGCGTAACCTATTTCTGTCATTGGACAACAGCTTCGAGAGTTTTCGTAAATATATTATTCTGTACAACAATATGTTTGCGTTTACATCTTTGGGTGTGAAGAAGGATTAAGAATTAGCGCAAAGACATCATGGTATTTACACATTTAGAGTCCAAGGGCAAGTATATCATAACATAAATGATATACGTCGAAATGATGAACAACCGCGATATTTGCAGCTATATTTCTATGACACAGATGTTGAGTACCGACATCGTGTATCAATTTTTACGGATCTTGATCCACGTGTGATCGGCTAATTAGTGCACTTAATGGAGCTAAATCCGTATGCTTAATTTTTCCGGTCACTTAAAGATGTTAATATGGTTGACACAAGTCACATTATAATCCGATCTGATCCAGATCAAGACCAACGTACTCACAATGCACCTAATTCTTCCCAAGTGGCAGCAATTTGGTTGGAAGATGTAGGCACGTCTGCTCCGCTGCAACGCGATATTGTGGTTCGTGCACATTCAGGTGCACACCATCGTATTCTGCATTACTACGGATGCTACGATCCATTACAGTATCCGATTTTATTTCCTTACGGCCAAACTGGTTGGCATAGACCAGATATATAGATATATAACAAAATATCTAAAAAGACAGGAATGTCACACATTTCCAGTAAATGAAGTTCTTGTCCAAACTGTTGATGATCTTCTAGAAGCTGAAAAATTTCCAGTAAATAATTTACCCGAGAAAAATTTCACTTTAATAAATAAAAAAAACACCACTTATTTTTTATCTTTTGTTTTTTTATATAGGAATTCACTCATCAACGTCTGAAAAAAAAAGTTTCCTGTAGAGAGTATTATTGCTACCGATTACAGATTCGTATACGAGATAATTCCTTTCTTCTGCGATGTGGGCGCTTATTACAACAGTACATTGTTGATATGTACATCAAAATCGAAACTTCGCGTTTGGATTTTATTCGTCAAAACCAAGAGACAATTAGAGTTAAACTTTACCAAGGTATTCTCGACAGCTTGAACACTGGTGTATCGCATGGATTAAATATTGGGCATGGATTCATTCTCCCTCCTTCGTTTATTGGTGGTCTACGAGATATGAGGCGCAGATATTTTGATGCGATGTCTTTAGTTAAGCACTACGGAAAATCTGATATTTTCTTGACCATGACCTGCAACCCTTCATGGCCTGAAATTACAGATGAAATGCTACTTCACGAGGAAGTGCAAAACAGACCTGATCTAATAGCAAGAGTTTTCCACGCAAAATTAGCAGAATTGAAAAAAGATATTGTCCAAAAGAAACTATTTGGCGAGGTTGCAGCATATGTTTAAGTAATTGAATTTCAAAAAAGAGGATTACCACATGTACACTTTCTCATCATTTTAGATTCAGCATCTAAGATTAGAACTTCAAACCAATACGATGAGCATGTCTGTGCAGAGGTACCCGAACAAAAGACTAACCCTCATCTTTATGAAGCTGTTTTAAAGAATATGATGCATGACCCTTGTGGAAATGATAATCCGGGAAATGTATGCATGCGAGATGGAAAGTGTAAAAATCATTACCCTCGAAGCTTTTCTGAAACGACATCGACAGGTCATAATTCATACCCTATATACCGACGTCATAATGATGGAAAAAAAATATTTGGTAAGCAGAGTACGACTTGATAATAGGTGGGTAATACCATATAATCCGTATTTACTAGCAAAATATGACTGCCATATAAATGTAGAAGTGTGCTCTACAATAAAGGCAGTTAAATATCTGTATAAGTATATATACAAAGGTCACGATCGGGTTGTTTTTGCTTTATCTAATCCCGAAAACATAAGCATAGGTGATGAAATCTCTTCCTTTCAGACAGCGCGATAGATATCGCCCCCAGAAGCTGCTTGGCGTATTTTCAGATTTCCGCTGAATGGTATACATCCAAACGTTGTTTCTCTGCAAGTACATTTGCCAAATATGAAAACTGTGACATTCCATTCACAAGAAAGGTTACAGACTGTTGCATCTGACTCATGCAGACAACGAACTATGCTAACTGCTTTTTTTGAGATGAATCAAGTTGATAGCTTTGCTCGCACATTATTGTACCAAGAATTTCCTCAACATTACACATGGCGTGCCAAAAAAAGTGAAAAAATTTGGCGACACCGTCAAACGACAACTACTACGATCAGACATGTTGTACATGCAAATCCAGCAGAAGGTAAACGTTTTTATTTGCGGTTACTGCTCACAAGTGTTCGTGGTCCAACCTCTTTTGATCATTTGCTGACCTTCAATAACGTAAGATATTCTTCATTCCGAGAAGCAGCATTTCAACGAGGTCTACTTGAAGCAGACGATTCTATAGATAAGTGCCTACAAGAAGCTTCCCAAAGTCAAATGCCTTTTGCCTTACGACGACTATTTGCTACATTGTTGGTATACTGCAATCCCGATGATCCAAACTGCCTGTGGGAAAAATTTTACCCATATCTTTCTGAAGATTATAACCATAACTTCCCTTCGAACAAAAAAAGGCTCGCAGATTAACTAGAAAAAGCATTTGTTACCTTGTTGAGTCAATGGGAAAGTCTTTTGACACCTACAATTTTGGATTGTTAGAGCTTGAAGAAGATGACTTAGCGAAAGGAATGAAAGAAATCGAAGAAGAGATCCAGATTCCTATTCATCCCGAAGAAATAAATGCTGTCAATTTACTTAATAGTGAACAGAAAATTTCTTACAACATAATTTACAATGCAGTCCTTGATAATAAGCCGGCAGCTTTCTTTGTTGACGGCCCTGGTGGTACAGGAAAGACTTTTTTATATTCTGCATTACTCGCTAATGTAAGAGCAAAAGGAATCATTGCTTTAGCAGTTGCGAGCTCTGGTATTTCTGCATCTGGTCTGTCTGGAGGTAGAACTGCAAATTCTCGATTCAAAATACCTTTAGATGTTGATGAGGTTCCAAGTCCAAGTATTTCCAAACAAAGTGCTTTAGGACAACTTATTCGTCTTGCAAAACTTATTATATGAGACGAGGCACCAATAGCAAAGCGTCAAAAAATTGAGTACTTTGATAGATTGCTACAAGATGTCTGTTCAAACAAATTGAAATTCGGTGGAAAGTTGTTGTTTTTGGTGGTGACTTCCGACAAGTGCTACCTGTTATACCTAAAGGAAGTTTGAATGAGGTTATTGCAACGAGTTTTGTGATGTCTCCTTTATGGTACGCACTCTAGAAAATCCATCTAACTCAAAACATGCGAGCAATCGATGACCCAACTTTTAGTAAGCTTGTCTTACAAATCGGGAATGGTGTGCCCCCTTATAAAGATGGGAAAAATATAGAGCTTCCTAAACCTTTAGTCATACCATATGACAATGAAGACTCATCTCTGGAACTCTTAGCAAAAAGCATCTACCCTGATATTTCGAAGACAACTTTCGATTCTTCGACTGCAACAAAAAGAGCTATTTTAACTCCAAAAAATGAACATGCTACAAAGATAAATTTCTCTTTTAGTGCACCAACAACCAGGAAGAGCTTATGAGTACAAAAGTTTCGACAGCTGCACAGATAATTCATCCGAACAATATCCATCTGAATTTCTTAATAGCCTAGCCCCATCCGGCCTTCCGCCTCATCATTTGACTTTAAAGGTAGGCAGTCCAATAATTTTTCTTAGAAACTTAGATCCAACATCAGGCTTATGCAACGGTACCAGATTAGTATGCAGAGCCTTTTTCCCCAATGTTATTGATGCTGAAATAACTGTGGGACATCACTGCGGCCAATGTGTTTTTATACCTCGGATCCCATTACAGCCATCAGCTACGGACAAGTACCCTTTTAGGTTTACTCGCAAATAATTTCCAATCAACCTAAGCTTTGCAATGACTATTAACAAGTCTCAAGGTCAAATGCTTGATAGAGTTGGCATATATTTACCACAACCGGTCTTTTCTCATGGTCAATTATATGTTGCACTGTCTCGTGCTAAAAAAGGTAAACATGTTCATATATTGATAAATCCCTCTGCGGATGAACCACATGGATGGAGATAGTCTTAAAAATATTGTATGTTATGAGATTTTAAGGCGTGCTGGAATATTGTAATTTTACTTATATTTCCTTTTACTTACGTTATAATTTTACAATATTCACTAGTGGAAAAAAGGCCATCCGTAACGGGCAAAAACTGCCCATCCGTAACGGGCAGTGGTCGTTACGTATGCGGCCGTTACGGATGGCCTTTCTTATTCGTAACGGGCAGTGGTCGTTACGTATGCTAAGGACAATTGAATCAGGGGTTTCTTATATAGCTAGAACGACCTTTACATAGTAATCCACTAATCTAACCACACTATTATTCACTAATACTTCAGACTCTAAAGTAAAAATATTATAAAGGTCTGGTTCAAGTTCTTTACAGGTTAGAAGATAGTGTATTGACAATCCCTAGAAGATGCAATAGCCGAAATAACTAACTACTATGGAACATCTGAAGGTCAGAAGATAGCTCATTGACAATCCGTAAAAGAGTAGCTGCATCATTATCTAACTAGTAACTACAGTGGAACACTCTGGGATATGCACACAGAATTTCCCAGCATGACTTCACATGTAGTATAAAACCTTCAATCTGGTGCTAAAACAACGTCGGATTGACTCGAATTTAAAATTGAAAATGATTGAATCAAACCCGATGACATTATAGTATAATGCAACAATCCATAGCTGGGTGTATTCATCATTTTTAAACTATTAAAAAAACATATCCCAACAACACCAATAACACCAACAAATAAGAAGGTTATTATTCAAAAGACTCTTGACTGGTCTGTTTTAATTTATTAAACCTTACTCCACTTAGCAGTTTTTTTATTTTTTAATTTTTTAAATGATTGAATGAGAAATACGTGCATTCTTAAAATAATGACTTAATTTGCAGCTATATATTACACAAACAACTAATTGAATTAGCAGCTTATCAAAAGACAGAAATTTTAAGTAGAAGAATGCTAGAAGCAGACATATTGGAAGGCAAACCTGAATTATAGTGGCAGAGAAAGGAAGCGGGTCAATACCATTGCTTACAAGCGTACCCTGGAATCAACCATTCAAGGATGTGTTTAGCATTTTGATTAAATATGCAATCTTTAGGAAACACATCTAAAATAGATTAGAAGGGCAATGAGAATTATGTCAATTATCATCATACCTGTCATCTCACTCGTTTAAGCTCTTGCTCCATTTGCATCAATTTTGAATGGCTCAACTCTAATTGCTAAATATAGACCTATAAATAACAAATTTCCAAGAAGAATTAGATCAGCAGAAAACAAGTACCACAACTCATTAAATTTGTAACACTTCTCTTCCCACCTTTTTCCGCATACGACTTTTGCGAGCAGCCTCACAATTTTGTGCAATACGTCTTTGTACCTAAAAAAAGGTAGACAAGCAAAGAAATTTTCAAAAAGACTGGAGAAGAAAATGCACATCAGCATCAAAATCATCTGTCTGGCAAAACACTCATTTTAGTGTCCAATCCATGATCTCCTCAGGGGCCAGTGAATGGCAACACATACAAATGCAACTAAAACAAAACTAGTGTCACATAAAGAAATCGAGTATTATCTTATAGCAACAAGATGAAATATGTAATCACAATTTGCAACAATCTAGGATAAGACTAAGTGAGGCTTCGCCTTAAAGCCAATTGGCAACAGATAAAGTGACTTCCTAGAAGTGGAAAATGGTACTTTGCTCTTTTTCCCAATGTGGAACAGCACCCAAGTGCATAATCCTGGGCACCGTGCCGGGCTGGGCCGCCGCGGGCCGTGCCTGGCGGGCCACGGGCTGGTTCGTGTCGTGCCGTGCCGGACATTTTCACAGGCCAGCCCACGGCACGGCACGATCCTCGTGCCTGGCGGGCTCGTGCTGTGCCGGCCACGTGTCGGCCTGCGGGCTGGTGTAGTTTTCAAATTTTATTTATTTATTTTTTTTTTTTTATGACAACATTATAAATTAATAAGTTTATAATGTATATAAGTTATAAAATTATAATTATAAGTTTTATAAGGTAACTTATAAGTTTATAACTTATAAGTTATAAGTTATTAAGTTATGAATTTTATAATTATAAGTTGAATATTTATGTTTTATAATTTGTATATTCAATATTTATATTTATATATTTACTTTATACTATTACTTTAAAATTTAATGTTTATGATTTATTAGTAATTGGTATAATTTTATTTTTTTTTAATATGAATTTACAAATTGTAACAAAACGGGGAAAAAAGGCAAATTGGATTTTGGATGTGAATAATGCGTACTTTATATTATTATTACTTGAGTTGAGAAAATTGTACAATGATAACAATGATAAAAATCATACAATGATGGTATTAAACAAAAATTGGAAAATGATAAAATTGATATTTTTAAAATCGTACAATATACAATAATTGTCTATTCTTCTTCTCCTTCTTCTTGCTCGTCTTCGTCTTCGTCTTCGTCTTCGCCTTCGCCTTCAAGGTCATCGGCTAGTTGCATAGATTGGGAACTAGCCGAACCCGAACCGGAAGCGGAGGTTCCTTCTTTGTTGTCGTTGTGGTCGTAAGAACGGTCTTGTGAGCGATTTTCCGCATCCAACCAATCTTTGAAACACACGCACATTTCTAGTGTTTCGGGTTTTAGACTTGTTCTTCTATCGTCTAAAACCCTTTCGGATGCGCTGAAAGCTCGTTCGGAGGCGACGGAGGAAACTTGGATAGCAAGAATGTCTCGTGCCATTGCCGCCAAAGTTGGATGCTTCGAGATTTGTTGTTTCCACCATGCAAGGAGGTCGAGGCTGTTTATCTCATCGTCGTCCATGCCTTTGGTGAAGTCGTAACTCAGGTACATCTGCAACTCCGAGACGTCGCTTTGCGTTCTCCTGATTGATGAATCACCTGAAAACCTTGAAATCAAGTTAGTAGCTTGTGAAAATAAATGTTTGGCCTTCTTACTTACATTTTTGGATGGTTGGGAAGGCCCTGAGCGAGGAACGGTGCCATATTTGGCTTCATAGACTCTATATAAAGCAAAAAACTGATCCTTCACATTAGTCTTATAGTTTTCTACATCATCGTCAAGAAACATGCATTGAAAGTAAATGTCAACTAACATAAATGTGTTTTCATACTTTTGCCTAGGATCTAATATGGAAGCAAAAATATAAATCAAAGGAATCTCACTATAATATTTACGCCACTTTTTTTCCATTGCTGGAAGATACTGATCATAATCACTTTGATGGCGATGATCAGCGAAAAGTTGGGCGAGTAAGCATGCATTAGAAAGAAAGTTTTGAGCACAAACAGTAGAAAAACAATACGTCATGTTATATAATAACTGTAAAAATTGCATATATCTTTCACAGTTTTTCCAATCATCATCATACAAAGCATTTTGTTGAAATTTTTGGTTGTAAAATAATGTTAACGGGCCCTTGTACTCAATTGCCTTTGTTAACATGTCATAGGTGGAATTCCACCTAGTTGGGCAATCGGTTCTAATTTTTATTACCCTTATCTTTTGTTGTTTTAGAAAACTCTTCCATTCTTGGTATCTCATGTTAGAGCTATTAATAAACATAATAGCATCTCTGATTTTGCTGTAGTATGGGCCAATTGCCCGAACTCCATCCTGTACACATAAGTTAAGTACATGGCAAACACATCTAGTATGAAGAGCTTCACCGTCTAATAGTACATCGGTTAAGTTTTGTTTGATAAGATTAGCTGTGTATGTCATAGAGGTTGCATTATCAAAAGTCATAGACATCATTTTATCTAGAAGGTTGTATTCGTCTATTGCTTGCATTAAATGGTGAGCAATGTTAATGCCGGTGTGTAGGTATTCCAGCATTTTGAAATGTATTATTCTTTTTTGTAACATCCATTGATCATCTACCCAATGGCAAGTCACACATAAATAGTGATATTTATAACCACTATCCCAAGAATCGGCTGTTAAAGATACTCTACAGTTAAGGTTACTCAATTCGGCTTGTAACCGGACTTTGTACTCTAGGAAATTTTTCATTGCGGCGGAACGAACGGTTTTCCTAGAGATTCTTTTATGTTGGGGTTGTAGTGCTTTGTTAATGTAGGTGTTGAATGCGTCACTTTCCGAGAAAAGAAAAGGTTGTTCGGCGTGTACTATCATTTTTCCTAGTTCATCCCTATCCCTCTCATAGTTGTATGTAAAGCCGTATGGATGGAATTGGGAAATTTTGGGCTGGGTTGGATCACTAGCTGGTTTTGCACAAGCTTTCATGTGTCTAGATAAGTGTCCCGTCCCGTTTTTGGTAACTGCCGTGAATACACTATTACATGTTTTACATTTTGCCCATTGTTCACCATCTTTACTTAGGACAAAATAACGCCATACCTCACTCCTTCGGTTTTTCAAAAGTAGCATCTCAGTTTCGGTTAACCATTCATGATGTGTGTGATGGTTAGTAGTGAGACTAGTGGGAGTGGCAGTAGAAGGGGTAGAACCGGAGGGAATTCGGGTACTTTCTTGGCTACCTTGGCTAGAACAATAGTTTTGTTGATCACCGATATAATTAGGTGGAAATTGGTATGGTGGTAGTGGAAATTGGTTTAGTGGTGGTGCTGGAAATCCCGACGTATTATATGACTCATAGCCCGGGGGGAAGTAAATGGGGTCATTGGTTTGACTCGTAATTTGGGGGCTCGTTGTATTTGGTGGTTCCCTAGAACTACTACTACGGATAAGTCGGCCTTTCCCCCTAGACCTAGATGATGGGTTGTTCGATGCCATAATTAACAATTAATTTTTTAATAAAAAGTGGTTAACTATAATAATAATAATAATTAATAACAACAATTTTAACAATAAAAATATCAATAATATTAATTAATAACAACAACTATAACAATAACAATAACAACAAAAATAAATAATAACAACAATTGTAACAATAATAATAATTAATAACAACAATTATAACAACAACAATAACAATTAACAACAATAATAATTAAACAAGATTATTCTAATAATAACAATAAAACAATAATAAATTTAAGATTAGTTTAGATCTTACAACCGTGCTTCAACGCTCCACTAATTACGATTACGAACTTTTTAATTTTTTCCGATATTAGGAAAATAATTAGAGAATTTAAGAGAATAATTAGAGAATTTAAGAAAATAAGGATTATTAGAGATTTAGAGAATATAAGAGATAAGAAGAAGAGATTGTGATTTTGTGATTTGGGAATGAAATGGAGGTGAGTATTTATAGAATTTTTGGGGAGCAAATTGGCAAAAAACTAGCCGTTTTTTAGCCGTTTTTTTGGCTTATTAGAGCTAGAATAAACAGTAACATTACCGTTGGCCCGCGAGCCGTGCCTGCGGGCCGTGCCTACGGGCCAGCACGGCGGGCCATGCCCGTGCTCGTGCCGGGCCGTGCCTGGGAATTCTCAACCCTGTCCGTGGCACGGCCCGTGGCACGGGAGTTGAACTTCGTGCCGTGCCGTGCTTGAATTCGGGTCGTGCCGGGCTGCGCCGAACGGCGGGCCGTGCCGGGCGGCACGCGGGCCAACCCGGCCCGTGCCCAGGTTTACAAGTGCATATATGGGTTTCAATTGTTTAAGAACCCAAAAACCCTATCATCAAATTTCTGATTTTTGAATCAATAATTGATTCAAGTTTGTTGTTGTTGTTGTTGTATTTGGTTCAAATTGACGACGGCGGCGACGGTGGTTGTGGGCAATCGATGCTTGCTCCGGATCTAACCCCACCCAGAAGTTGATGATGCTTCTTCGCCTTTTCAGGCTCAGACAACGTCTCATCGGCCTCGATCTCCCTAATCTTCTTGAGCAAATCACTCGTGAGTTTTAGCTATTGACAATTTTTGGTTTGAGTAGAGAGAAAGAGTGATTTGAGGAGAGAGAAAGAGCAGATGAGTAAGGAAGAAGAGAGATGCGGAAAGAGAGAGTGGTATGAGGAGAGAGAGAGAAGAGGAGTGAGGAAGAAATGCGGCTGGGGAAGTGGGAACAGATTGAACATTTAACCCTAGAGAGTTATTTAGTTGTAATGGGCTTTATATCTGTCCGTTACAATTAATAACTATTCATAACGGACATTTATTTGCCCGTTACAATTATTAATTGTTCGTAACGGACATTTGTTTGCCCGTTACAAATAAGTTTTTCCGTAACGATCAAATATTTTGCTCGTTACAATTACTCTTTTTGTAACGGATTTTATCATGCCCGTTACAAATAGGGTGTTACAAATGACAATTTTTCCACTAGTGATTGTAATGTTGTATATTATGAGATTTTAAGGCGTGCTGGAGTATTGTAATTTTACTTATGTTATGAGAAACACTAAAAATGTTGTATGTTATGAGATTTTAAGGTATGCTGGAATATTGTAATTTTAATTAT